CTTCTCCTGCTCCGCCACCCACTCCGGCGCAGAGAGGAGGTTTCCCTCTGGACGGCCCAAGTTCGCCCACTTGGGCGGGCCCTTGGGACGTTTATTTTTGTTGGGCAGGAAGTTGCCGAGGACCACCGTGCTCACGCGAAGTCCCGTGATGGTGTGGCCTTTTGCGCTGAGCGCGCGGACGCCGCGGTCGCCGATCAACTCCTCCAGACGTTCGTTGGTCACGGCGATGGGGACGTCCTCCAGGGAAGGGCGGTCGGTTTCCGTCACCTTCCTCTTCGGGCGCAGCAGCCGGCTGAGTGCCCGCTTCCTGTCCACCGGCCACAGGCCCGCCCCGGCGACGGAAGCTTGGTTGATTTCCGGCGTAAAGCTCGGGCCCCACGCCAGCCCGATCATGCCGGCCATGTCCCGCTTCCGCGGTAGTGCCCCTCCGTTCCTCGCCGGGAAGGCCTGGATCACCTTCGCCAGCTCCTTCTTGAAGCACCCGAAGCCAGCGACGTCCAAGGGCTGGGTGATGTGGGACATGTGGGAGGGCAGCTGGACGCGGTGGATGTTGAGGGAGATGGGCAACTTTATGACGTTTAAGCTCACGTGCGACGTGTGCCCATCCAGCACGAGCACATGGGGTTTTCCCCCGAGCAAGTTGCGGTCGCCGAGCTGCTTGTGGAAGTTCTTGATGTACTTGATGAACACCTCACCACACATGAAGGACGACTCCGTGCAGTCGTAGAACGCACCCGGCGGGTCGTTGAGATCCGCGACCCAATCTCCGTTGAAGCGTTGCCCTTTGAGATGATGGTAGGGGCCAACACGGCGCCGGCGGCGTTGATAATGGTGATGATCGTGCAGATCTCTCGCGAGGTGGAGCGCATCTGGGCGACCACCGGCTGCCGCCGTTCCGCCACAACCCGCTGTCCCTGCGTACCTTGAACGGTGTCACCTGCAATGTTTTTTTGCGGCGGCAAAGCGGGAGTAGGGGGGAGGGAGATGCAGTAGGAGATTAAGTACAGGGAACAATAGCGCTTTCACGCACCACTAACGTCCAGCCTAAAATGGGTGGGGGAGCGGGCGGGGAAGAGAACGGCGAACACGGTGGGATGTCCTCACATGCAAAATGTACCGGCGCAGCTGCACAGCTGGGGCCATCGCACTAGTCTAGAATACAGCCTTCTCGTCTTGAGCCTCGAGAAAAAAAAAGTCCACACAGGGGCCACTGCTAGTAATAGCGTAGCAGCAGCAGCAGCAGCAGCAGCAGCAGCAGCAGCACCGCGACAAGTTTCTCCTTCCCACACATGAATTCCGTGTGTGTGCTGCGTAAACATCATGTGTATCAGCATGCGAAACTGCTCTTGAAGCAACGTGTGTGCATGCTGCCGACATGAACAAGGATCCCAAACAGCAGTAGCCAGCGTACACGACAGCAATTGCGCGTTCATGTAGCAGTGGTCCTCTGCGGAGACCACGCGCTGCGGGGAAACTCGATTTTTTTTACAGCAGCCGCAGAACTCTGCCTATTTTTCACGTCGTGCACAGCAGCCAAAATGTAGAAACAAGCTCACAATTCGTCACACAGCAGCTACTGCCGACACCACACCACTACCCTGTGTTGCTCACCTGACTCGTCCGTGTTCCAGACATGGTCGGCCGCCGGTTGGTGCTCGTCGAGGAACTAGCCCCAGAAGTCGTAGAACTTGTGCAGACGTTCATCTTCCGCGGAGGTCACCCTATTGGACTCGTAGATGCGGGCGAGTCGAAGGCTGATGCGCTCGTGCCGTCCGAGGAAGCCCTCAAGTCAGCTCCTCCCCGGGCCCTTGTCAGGGGTCCATGGGATCGGTCGACCGTCGTTGCAGAGCTGTCTCACACGCTCCGTGAGGTCTGCGGTGGTGAGCGGAATAGATATAGTTCCGACCAGCGTACAGCAGAACATATTCAAGCGCATCCTCCTCTGCTGCGGTCATGACAGTCCCGGGGCCCACCCGCGCGTCCATGGCACACTCACCGCTCAGCCGCCGCGAGAGCGACGTCTTGTTGACCCCGTAGGCAGCAGCAGCAGCGTTGCGTGACATGCTACCGCTGCGGACCGCTTCACAGGCCTTCGCAGCAGCCTCCGCGCTCACTCTACACCGACCCATGCTTAGCAGTAGGAGGCCAACGAGGGCGAAGATGCGCCGCATCGAGACTGCTGGTGGGTGCGTTGCTGTAGCTCCTGGCTGCGTGCGCCGATCGGCACGCTGAAGTAAGTGCTCAAACGAAAGCTAACGGAAAGCTCATCAAAAAAAAAAAAACAAGGGGGGGGGCGGCGAATCGTGCGACTGGTATGCCGGTTTAAAAAAGTGGTCCTTAATGGGGGGGCGGTCCTTCATAGGCACATTTACTCTAAGCATAACTGCTGTGATACTTGGTCTTCGGGTTCTGTTGATGACCCAATCAACCAATCCAATGCAGAGCGATGTGGCTCTACACTCACGGTTCTTGTGCTAGGTTGGAGGTTCTTGTCAGTGGGTTGCTCTATGTCTCGGACGGTTGTCGCCGAAGATGCTAATGTAGATCAAAGACTCAAAGACCGAGGATAATGGATGATGCTTTGAAGAGGAAACTTTGTCGTTGGTTCTGCTCGCTGCTGCACTCAACTCAAGTCGGTCAACACTGCTGCTGCTCGACCGTACTTCTGCACTCACTTGCTGGAACCAACCACCGCTTCGAACTCTGTCAACGTACTGGTAACCGGACACTCAAGCTCGCCTTCTGCTCCTTGCCCTGGTAGACTCTCTTCTGAATTATTGAGCGGCAGCGCTGCTGCTGCCGCTGCTCAACATCCGTCACGTACGTCCACAGAAATATGCCAATTCCGCCGCAAAGCGGGGACAGAACCCGAACATCCCCTGAAACGAGCCTACTTCGTACCACATTCCCCCACACTGCTTTTTGACATGGTGGAAAATGTTCACTATGTCCAAAAGTAATCCACAACGTCATCATTTCCTCCAAGAGAAATTGACCTGAAGTACTATTTTCCACACTGGAACTGGTATATTCTCGCTCGCGGCCGCTCTTACCTGGCGACAATTTTCCAACACATATCCTTCTCAACAATGACATAACACCTAGTACTCAGAATGCCAATGGAATTCGATCTATCCTTAGCAGGGACCCGTTTTTGACCCCACGAGATCAAGCCTTCGTCAACCCTTCAGGCCCGAGAACCCCCACACAAGCCACCAGACACAGTTCCCGAGAGAAGTTTTCATCATACCATCTGCCGCCAAGAGACCCAATTTTGCCCCGTGCCGCGCTGCCGTGTTTTGGAAACGGCACCCGGCACCAACCC